CATGAGATCGATAGAATCAAACAGCACGTAGGTAAGGGACATAACAGATAGTACCAGGTTCACTTTATGTATCACCCATTGGACGATCTCTACTGGATCTCCAAGGAGCTGCTGTGCAGCGCACCTCTCGTTGTTAAAGCCTACGAACGACAAATCGCCTCTAATGCTGTTCCCAAAATATCTGCAAAGCTCACTGCAACAGAATACTCTCGAAATCTATTTGCTTTGTTTGCTTACGATGCGTTTGTCGAGGACTCGGACTGAGTTACTTGCTCGAAGGGACCTCGCTCTGAAGGGGGGAGGTAGTGTTATGACCCGACCGAACATGGACTGAGACACAACTTATTTCTAAGTTTTGCTCATGGACAGAATGCCTTGCTGAGTTTCCCGCTTGCTACCAAGTTCTCTAAGTTTGTGTGTGTGTGCACGCTTGCTGGTCTGCATGTCTGTGTGTGTGCACGCTTGCCGCTCTGCATGTCTATGTGTGCACATGTGCTGGTCTGCACGCCTGTCTGAGTGCTTGTTGGCTTGAGTGTGTGTGTGACCCGCAAGGGCACCTGTTCGTTCGTTGGGCCGTCAGGGCCGGTACTTACCTGTGGCCGTGACATTGAGGACTGCAGCGGGGAAAACACTCAAGTGGCGGGGGAAGAGGCCCCGCAACACTTGAAGCAGCGAGGAAACACTCAACAGGTAGGCCGGTACCACACCTTGAAGAGGTAGATGTGTCGGGTACTTGAGACCGAGCAGAAGAAGACAAAAGTTGGCATTTTTAGAGGCCCAGTAGTCGTAGGCTAGGTCTAGGCGGGTACCAGTCCAACCAGTCTGAGTCTAGGGCCTGTACGGGCAATATCAAAGTCTGCAATGATGTTTCCCTCCGATAGGGAGGAGGTACCGGTTGCTTGGGAGGCCAAGCGGCGTGGAAGTCACCGCCCAAGAGGCAAGCAGGCCGCTATATCTCCACGTCGGGCGAAGAGCCCGGCCTCATTGTCGGTGTGCAAGTTTGGCGACACACTGGTTGGAGTGCTAGCTGGAGCAGTGCTGCTGGGGAACGAGCAAGGACACTGAGGAGGAAGAAGACCAGGAGGAAGGGGGAGCGCCAGAGGTACCTGGCTATGATGGCAGCCATCTTCATCACCTTGGTGGGCACTGCAGCAGCAAGGCCCCCGTTTGGGCAGAGCTACACCAAGAAGCGTCGAGGCAGAGTCAAGCATGGCGACCTGAGTTCCTTTGGGTTGTCCTTTGGGCATCAGGGCAAGACCTTGTAGTCCTCCATAGCCTCCCCCTATGAGAGTGAAGAGTGAGGGAGGCGGCCATGGCTATGGTGGACCTCAAGTGATACCTGCAATAGAAGAGGGATTCAGACATTGACCCGGGTTCACCCATTCAACATTGTACTATTATTTCTTGTGTGAATAAGAGAGGAGTAGAGGAGGAGGAAAGTGTTTGGCGAAGAAGAAGAGCTTTACAATTTGTCTATGCTCGTGTACATCTTCTTCTTCTTTCTTTCTTCTTCTTCTTCTTCTTCTTCTTCTTCTTACTCTCTCTCCTGTCAACTTCATTCATTTCTGTCTGCAATTAGATGGCATTGTACTGTCTGATGAATGTGTACTTCAAAATTGGTTGGGATCATAACAAAATTCGTTTTAAATCTAGGCTACCAGAGTGGCCCGAGTCCACTTGCCGGGCCGAACAAAAAAGAAAAAAACAAAAAAATTAAATAAAATTAATTTTTAATTTAAAATTTTATTTAAAGTTTCATAAAGAATTTCGATGTGACCTTGAGGTGACGTGTTAGCGCTGCGCAGCGCTAATGTGTCGCCTCAGTGGTGGCGTTCGGGCGTCGGAAGCTCGCTAACGGGGCCGACGAAATTTGCCTGCCTCGTCTACCAAAACTTAGCATTGGCGTGACCATGGCGGAGCAGGAAGAACACTGGGGTGTTAGGGGGGCGTGTCGAGGGAGCTGTGACATGCTCCTGGTCATAGCTGGTCTCGCTTGACTTATGTTAGGACTCCTGGTTCGGTGGAGGAAGGAGAGCGTGATATGTGGGGGCCATCGACGGGTGGGGTCCGGACGCTGCCTCATACCTAACGAGAGCGATCGGGGGTTATGCCCCTCGATCTTTGATATGGAGGTTTTTAAGGGGGTCTCCTGCCCTGACCCTGTTGTCAGGGTCAGCCCGCGAAGGTGTGGGAGACAGGAGTTACGGGAGATTGCCATAATTCTAATGTTCGCTGCACAACGGGAGTACGTGGGGATTTCGCTTATGATCTCCAGCAGGAGCGCACATCGACTTCGTGGATTGGGTGTGCTCACCTGTCATGGCCCGTGTTAGGGTGAGAGAGAGAGAGAGAGAGAGAGAGAGAGAGAGAACGGCATGTAAGAGCGTTGGATAGTCTATGTTTCGTATTAGACTAGGGTTCACGCGATTTGTGTGAATTTTGGTGTTTTCCTTTTTCACCGTTTGGGTAACAGTTGTCGTAATTTGTTGCGACTTTTGTGTAGCATTTTGCATGCGATGGACTGAAAGACAGAGTGTCGCTCTGTAGAAACGCCATTATGGTGGGCGGTGGGGTTTCCTTGTGAGAAGGTGCAAATTAGTGGAAGTGGTTTTCCCTAAATCGCGAGGAGGTGGGTGGGTTTGCAGGGTCTTTGACCCCTGACACACGGGAGGTACGATATTACCGCTGCGACGTTGAATTTGGGTCAGGTATTCATTTCATCTCAATAGGCTGGTGTCTGCTGTCATCTGAATTCTTGAGGTATAATGGTGAGCATTGCTCCACTGATGCTTCGTCATGGAGGGCGGGGAAGCATCCGTAGCGGGTGTATGCAGATTGAGGGAGAGGCTTACCCTGAGTCGCGAGGAGGTGGGTGGGTTTTACAGGGCTTTTTGGCCCCTACCGCGTGGGAGGTGGGGTAATCCCCTGGTTGGTGAAAACAGCATTGTGGTGGGAGTTGGTGTTTTCATAATGAAGAGTGAGGGGAGGTGCTATCCGCTCTGAATCGCGAGGTGTGGGTGGTTATATTGCGGGGTCTCTGTCATCAGTTTGGGGCCTGTGGGCACAGACCCCTTCCGCGCGGGTCGCAGCGCGGTTTGGCAGAGGTTGGTAATAACTCCGGATGAATAGTTGACATGATCACCAAGCGCTGACCGCTGGTTTCCTTTCTGTGCTTTATATTCGCTTTCTTCGATAGTTTTCTTTTTGTGCATGATTTCTTCATGGTCGGTGGAATTTGGTTTACTGAATTAGGGTTGTCATGACTGTTGTGATTAGAGTTTCTTGGTGACGAACTTAGATTTTGCTGATAATTTTCCTTGATTTTTCAGTGGTAGGGGCTGTGGAGTTGGTTGTGGAATTGGCTATGGGGTGAAATCTAGTGGTGCCCTTGATATGCTTGGCCAGTGATGCCTTGCCCGCTGAGGGCCTCACCTGATTTTGTGAGGGACGCGGGGCCCGGTTCCCGGCTTTTATAAAGACGAGTATTAAAAAAGAAACGAAAAAAAAAAAAAACAGAAAAGAAGTGTTCAGTTTATTTTTCTGCATAACATAGTTTTGTTTTTTTTTTTTTGGTTGGGACCTTCCCTAGTCCTTGCACAGCCGGGCCGCCCGAGAATACAGGGCGACCCGGGCAGCCCAGCTGGTAGCCTAGTTTTTTTTTTTTTTTTTTGGTTGGGACCACGGTTCTCCGACCTGGGTCCTGAGTCCGGGCTGGTGGAAAATTCCGTGTTGGGGGGTTGAAGGCTTTTGGGCCTGCGGGGGTGTGATTTCAGGTATGATATACCCCCGGGAAGGACGCGCCATTTTCATGAGGACAGTAGGGCCTCCAAATTCGAAAACGAACATGGTCCACTCTGGGCCATCAGATCTACGACATCTACGGCTTAGATCGGGCCAAATAAGAATTCGAATTCTGCTGTGTCTTCCGCCTGCGCGCGATTTGGGCACGTCGTGGGAGTCGAACGTTGCCGCGTCGCCATTGCGCCACGACCCGACGTGTCCTCCAACCCCCGTGCAGGTGTGTACCCTCCTCCTCCTCGACCTCTCTCTCATCTCTCACCTCCTCCTCCTCCTTTCCCTCCTCTTCCTCATCCTCCTCTTCCTCCTGTCCCTCCATCTCGTTCTCATCCTCCTCCTCCTTTCTGTCCACTTCCTCCTCCTCCCCCTCCTCCTCCTTTTCTTCCTCCTCCTAGTCCTCCACCTCCTCCTTGTCGACGTCGTCCATCGGCGCCGTCCTCCTCCTCCTCCTCCTCCTCTTCTTATTCTTGGTCGTCGTTGTTCTCCTCCTCCTCCTCTTCTCTGTGCTCCTCATCCTCAGGCTCCCCCTCCTCCTCCTTCTCCTCATCTTCTTCCTCCTCCTAGTCCTCCACCTCCTCCTCCCCATCTTCTCCTTCTCCATCTACTCCTCCTCCTCCTAGTCCTCCTAGTCCTTCTCCTCCTTCTCCTCCTCCTCCTTCCTCCTCCTCCTCCTCATCTTCTTCCTCCTCTTAGTCCTTCACCTCCTCCTCGTCGCCGTCGTCCATCGCTCCCTTTGTCCTCCTCCTCCTCCTCCTCCTCCTCCTCCTCCTCGTCTTCTTATTCTTGGTCGTCATCGTCCTCACCTCCTCCTCCTTATCTTCCTCCTCCTCCTCCTCCTCCTCCTCGTCTTCTTACTCTTCATCCTCGTCGTCGTCCTCCTCCTCCTCCTCCTCTTCTTACTCTTCATCCTCGTCGTCGTCCTCCTCCTCCTCCTCCTCTTCTTACTCTTCATCACCGTCCTCCTCCTCCTCCTCTTCTCTATACTCCTCGTCCTCCAGCTACCCCCCCCCCCCCTCTTCTCTGTACTGCTCTTCCTCCGCCTTCTTTCAATCAATCATTCAATCAATCAATCAATCAATCAATCAATCAATCAATCAATCAATCAATCGTTCAATCCCAATCCAATCAATCGATTGGATTGGATCTTGAAAATCCAATCGATCGATTGGATTTTCAAGATCCAATCCAACCTTTTGATTGGATTCGATTTGAACAATTGATTGATTGAAAAAAAAAGAGGGTGGGAGTAACAGTGGAAGTCGGACTTCCAGCGTTCCTCCCGCCCTTTCTTTTTTTATCACGCATTTTCTCCAACTTGCAGCGCCCCTCCTCCTCTTAACCCTTCTCTTTTACTTTGTCGTCATCCTCCTCCTCTTCTTCTTCTTCACATCCTCCTCCTTCCCCTACTCCTCCTCCTCCTCCTCATCATCATCATCATCTTCTCCTCCTCCATCTCCTCCAAGTCCTTTTAGTCCTTCTCCTCCTCACCCTTCTCCTCCTCCCCTTCTCCTCCATCTCCTCATCTTCGTTCTCCTCCTAGTCCTTCACCTTCTCCTCGTTGGCGTCGTCCATCGCTGCCGTTGTCCTCCTCCTCCTCCTCGTCCTCCTCCTCCTCTTCATCTCCATCGCTGTCCTCCTCCTCCTCCTCGTCCTTGTCCTTCTCTTCTTCTTCATCCTCCTCCTCCTCTTCTTTTTCTTGCTCGTCGTCGTCGTCCTCCTCCACCTCCTCTTCTATGTGCTCTTCGTCCTTCGGCTCCCCCCTCCTCCTCCTCCTCATCTTCTTCCTCCTCAGTCCTCCACCTCCTCCTCCTCATATTTTCCTTCTCCATCTCCTCCTCCTCCTCCTTCACCTCCTAGTCCTCCTAGTCCTCCTCCTCCTCTTCCTCCTCTTCCTCCTCCTCCTCCTTCTCCTCATCTTCTTCCTCCTCTTAGTCCTTCACCTCCTTGTCGCCGTCGTTCATCGCTGCCTTTGTCCTCCTCCTCCTCCTCCTCCTCCTCCTCTTCTTATTCTTGGTCGTCGTCGTCGTCACCTCCTCCTCCTCATCTTCCTCCTCCTCCTCCTCCTCATCTTCTTACTCTTCGTCATCATCGTCGTCCTCCTCCTCCTCTTCTCTGTACTCCTCGTCCTCCAGCTCCCCCCCTCTCCCCCTCTTCTCTGTACTACTCTTCCTCCGCCTTCTTTCAATCAATCAATCAATCAATCAATCGATCGTTCAATCCCAATCCAATCAATAGATTGGATTGGAGCTTGAAAATCCAATAGATCGATTCGATTTTCAAAAGATTGGATTCGATTTGAACGATTAATTGATTGATTGATTGATTGATTGATTGATTGATTGATTGAATGATTGGTCGTCGTCATCGTCACCTCCTCCTCCTCATCTTCCTCCTCCTCCTCCTCGTCTTCTTACTCTTCGTCGTCATCGTCGTCCTCCTCCTCCTCTTCTCTGTACTCCTCGTCCTCCAGCTCCCCCCCCCTCCCCCTCTTCTCTGTACTACTCTTCCTCCGCCGTCTTTCAATCAATCAATCAATCAATCAATCAATCGTTCAATCCCAATCCAATCAATAGATTGGATTGGAGCTTGAAAATCCACTACATCGATTCGATTTTCAAAAGATTGGATTCGATTTGAACGATTAATTGATTGATTGATTGATAAAAAAAAAAGAGGGTGGAAGGAAAAGTGGAAGTCGGAATTCCAACGTTCCTCCCGCCCTTTTTTTTTATCACGCATTTTCTCCAATAGATCAATTGGATTTTCAAGATCCAATCCAATCTTTTGATTGGATTCGATTTGAACGATTAATTGATTGATCAATTGATTGATTGATTGATTGATTGATTGATTGACTAAAAAAAAAGAGGGTGGAAGGAAAAGTGGAAGTCGGACTTCCAACGTTCCTCCCGCCCTTTTTTTTTTATAACGCATTTTCTCCAACTTCCAGCACCCCTCCTCAGCCCTAGGATCTGCATCTGCTACTGCAAAGGTGAAAACTGTTTCAGTGGGTGTGTGTGCGTGTGTGTGTGTGTGTGTGTCTGTGTGTCACACACACATGGGTAGATACTACATATTGTGTGTGTGTGTGTAAATATTGTGTGTGTCGTGTGGTTATGGATAGCGTGTGTGTGCATCTGTGTGTACAGTGTGTGGGCATATGCAGCAGCCGCAGCAGTGGGCCTTTCACACATTCCCGGGATGATTCCCCCCACCCCCAGCACCATTTTCGTCTTTTTTTGTTTTTTTGCTCCGAATGACCTCAAATTTGTTTTGGGGGGTCCCCTGGTCATGCGCGGCACAGAGCAATTTTTTATTTTTTTTTGTGCTTCCCAAATTCGAGAAAATGAGTTGTCCGGGATCCCGGACAACTCCGCACAGGACGTCCGGCTGTGTGTGTGTCTGTGTGTGTCACACACGCATGGGTAGATACTACATAGTGTGTGTGTGCGTGTGTAAATATTGTGTGTGTCGTGTGGTTATGGATAGCGTGTGTGTGCGTCTGTGTGTACAGTGTGTGAGCGTATGCAGCAGCCGCAGCAGTGGGCCTTTCACACATTCCCGGGATGATTCCCCCCACCCTCAGCACCGTTTTCGTTTTTTTTTGGTTTTTTGCTCCGAATGACCTCAAATTTGTTTTGGGGGGTCCCCAAGCGATGCGCAACACAGAGCAATTTTTTTTATTTTTTTTTGCTTCCCAAATTTGAGAAAATGAGATATCCGGGATCCCGGACAACTCCACAAAGGACGTTTGCCCAGGACAACCGGCAATCGGACAACTGGTAGCCTAGATTTAAAATTAGTTCAATTCGTTTAAGTTAATTACATTCATTTTAAGTTCATTTAAAATTAAATAAATTCGTTTAAATTAATTAAATCCGTTTTAAATCTAGGCTACCGGAGTGGCCCGGGTCAACTTGCCCAGTCGAACCAAAAAGATATAGAAAAATAAAAAATAAAATAAAAAATATTTTTTAATTTAAATTTTTATTTTAAATTTGGTAAAGAATTTTGATGTGACCCTGTGTTCTCGGTGCGCTAGACGCACGGCCAAAGCCACACCTTTGTGCAGTTTGTGTCCTGGAACGAGGATTGAGGACCTTCAGCATATGTTGCTGCACTGTGAACTCACTCGACCTTTTTGGGAACGGTGGAGATCGGGATCAGTCCCGGTTCCGGACCCGACAGACAGATGGACTGGTGAATTCATTCTTATTGGGGCTGCCACACGACGTCATCAACTCAATGGGCCATTGACATTCCCCGAAGAGACCTTCCGAGGGTCTGTGTTATGGACACTTTGGACAGTTAGGAACTCAACGATCCATAGAGGAGAGAGACTGACTCCGGTAAAAACAAAAGCGGAGGTCATATTTGCTATCAAACAGACCATCTCAACAGAGTGGTCTCTCAAAGTTCAAAAAAAGGGATATACATCAAACGCACTGAAGACTTTCCTTCAACACTGGGATAGATTTCCTGACCTGCTCAAAGTGCAGCTGCCTCAGGGTGTATGTCCTCAGCTTCAATTTTCAACCTTTTTTATCACATGAAAGTTAGGTAGATATAGTTTTTAACAATTGCTCTGTCGATTGTCCTTCCACCTTCCCTAGGCTTCTTTTAGCACAAAGTGGATAAGAGTTTTTGACCTAGTTTCTAATGGCTCGGCAGATTGTTTCTCTCTGGACTTCTTCTCGATTTCCTCTGGTGAATACATAAAGGGATTAGAGATGGTTTTCAGCAAGAACTGAGTTAGAAGCAGATGTTACAATTTGTTGCAGACTTCTTACTTGTTTTCTTTCCTTTCTCCTTTGGGACTCAGCGACTCCTGATATGGGCTTGGCCTGTGATGCCTTGCTCAAAATCGGGAGCCGCCCGCATATATGTGAGGGACGCCGGGCCCGTTTCCCGATATGTATACAAAATAAAAAAAGAGAAGGGCCTATCATTTTTAATCAAAAAAAAAAAAAAAAGTTGTCCAAATTATTTTTCTGCATACCATAGTTTTTTTAAAGATTTTTTTGATTTTTTTCTTTTCTTTTTTGGCTGGGACCTTCCTTGGTCCTTGCACGGCCGGGCCACATGGGAAAATAGGGTGCCCCGAGCAGCCCAGCTGGTAGCCTAGTTTTAAATCCATATAAATTAATTCGTTTAAAATTAATTAAATTCGTTTCAATTAATTAATTTCGTTTTAAATCCAATTAAATTAATTAAATCAATTTAAATCCATTTAAAATAATTAAATTCGTTTTAAATTCATTTAAAACCATATTACATATTTTTTAATTCATTTAAATTAGTTTCAATTTATTAAAATAACCACAACTTCATTCAAATTAAATAAAAAATTATTTTTTTGAATCAATCTATTTCGAGCATTTCGAAATCTGATTTCAATTAATTCGCCCATAATTTTTCGAATTCCTTTAAAAATGCAATAAAAATCAATTTAATACCAAAAAAATTGGCAAAATTCACACATCTTCTTTTCCAGGACCTGCCGCACCAAGACCTCTCCACGCGCCGCCGCCCGGGCCACTGAGAACGCCACTGCAGCCTCTGCCTCCACCTCTACTTCTACTTCCTCGCCCCCAACCTCTCCCTCAACAATGGTGGACGGTTGCTCAAGCACCAACATGAGCGCCATTGACACCACATCTGTGGACAGCCTCCTTCGCTACCTCACAGCAGACCAACCCATACCTGAACTCACCCCCTACCAACACCTCCCCACTCATCATGATGCAATCCATGCAAGACGCCATCCATGCCCTCCAATCCTCCTTCGCCACCTCCATCTCTGGCCTCTCCAGTGGGATAGACAACACGGAACAAACATCGACCCCTTCCATCCAAGTGGTCACTACCACAATTCCCACTTCCACGTTGGGTTCTAGTCTGGGCCCACGTCCTTTTCCTCCCACTTCCACTCCCACTTCTACCGCTTCTACCTCCACTTCCATAGCCGGTCCATTCGCCCCCCAGCCTCCACCACCCCCATCCCAATGGCCATCACCGGCGTGGCCCATTCACCTCCTACCTCATCCACCCCTCTCATTGCCCAATTGCCGCCCCATTCCCTTGGCACACAATCTGTATCCACAACTCCCCTCTCACAACCCATCTCTACCGTATCCATCGTCACCTCCCTCCGGATGCCCACCTACTCTGAGGTAGCCGCCATGCCACACCCCGCGCTTCCCCACCATCCCCCGAACGCCCTCCTCCCAACAAACCGCCAACAGGACTTCACCCGCCTCGTTGACACCTCACCCACCCTCGACTTCAACGCACTCGCTACCCACGTCCCTAGTTATGGCGAAATACCTCGCACATTCCGAGCCCACCACATTCCAACGTTTTCCAATAACCCCAATGAGGATGTATCTACCTTTCTCAGTCCACTCCAACAAGCTTTCTATCTCCACACCGTCCCCGTCGTCCATTGGCTACCCATAGCCGGTACACGACTCCTTGCCAACGCCGCCCGCTGGTGGCTCACCGAAGTCGCCAACCGCCAACTCAGCGGCCAGCCCTCGTACTTCTTCCTCGAGTGGGCTACGCTGATCACAGCCACCTTCCGCCCACAAAAGACCGTCGATGATTACATCGACCAATTTTGTCGCCTTCGCCAAAACGGCCCCACCCACCATTACATCCAATATGTCCGCTCACTACGATAGCATATCCCCGTCCACCTAATCGTCGACAACACTTTTATCTCCCGCCTCAAGCGGGGCTTCAACTGTGAAATCACCGCCGCCTTCGTCCACGACCAATTTTGTCGCCTTCGCCAAAAGGGCTCCACCCACCGTTACGTCCCATACGTCCGCTCACTACGACAACATATCCCCTGTCCACCTGATCCCCGATGACACGTTTATCTCCCGCCTCAAGCAGGCATCCAACCACGAAATCACCGCTGCCCTCGTCCATGAGCCCACCACAACCTTATCTGATGTTCTCCCCCGCATTCTCCACATCAACAGTCTCCTCTCAAATCACA